ACCGCTTGCGCCACCAGGCCGGCCCCTGTTTTCTAGCTTTTTGAATTATAAAGTTAGATTGTTTATTTGAGACTTTTCGTGCTTCTTGAGGTAGGCATTTATTGCTATGAACTGTCCTCTTAGAACTGCTTTTGCTGTACCCCATAAATTTTGATATGTTACATTTCCATTTTTTATTGTCTCAAGGTATTTTTTAAATTTCTCTTTTGATTTCTTCTTTGATCCATTGGTTGTTCAGATCATGTTATTTAATCTCCATGTATTTATGAATTTTCCAGTTTCCTTCACATAATTAACTCTAGTTTCATACCACTGTGGTTGGAAAAGATGCTTGAGATGATTTCCATCCTCTTAAATTTATTAAGACTTGTTTTGTGACCTAACACATGATCTATCCTGGAAAATGTTCCATGTGTGCTTGAGAAGAATGTGTATGCTGTCACTCTTGGATGGAATGTTCTGTAAACATCTGTCAAGTCTATCTGGTCTAACATATTGTTTAAGGCTGATGTTTCCTTATTGACTTTCTTTCTGGATGATCTATTCATTGATCTAAGTGAGGTGTTAAAGTCCCCTACTATTATTGTGTTGCTGTCTATTTTTCCCTTTACGTCTGTTAATATTTGCTTTATATATTTAGGTGATTTACAAATGTTATAACCTCCTGTTGGACTGACACCTTTATCTTTATAAAATGCCCGTTTTTGTCCCTTATTGCAGTCTTTGTTTTAAAGTCTGTTTTGTCTGATATGAGTATTGCTAACTCCAGCTTTCTTTTGGTTTCCATTTGCATGGAACGTCTTCTTCCATCCTTTCACTTTCAGTCTGAGTATGTCCTTACATCTAAACAGAGTCTCTTGTGGGCAGTATATATATATGGATCTTGTTTTTTTATCCATTCAGCCACTGTATGTCTTTTGATTAGAGAGTTTAGTCCATTTATATTTAAAGTAATTATTGATAGATATGTACTTATTGCCATTTTTAAAATTGCTGTCTGGCTGTTTTTATAGTTCTTCTCTGTTCCTTTTTTTCTTCTCTTGCTCTCTTCCATTGTGTTTGATGACTTTCTTTAGTGGTATGATTATGTTTCTTTCTCTTTATCTTTTGTGCATTTACTGTAGGTTTTTGCTTTGTGATTACCATGAGGCTTACATCAAACAACTTGTATCTATGACAGTCTATTTTAAGTTGATAACAACTTAGGTTTGATCCCATTCTAAAGATCAACATTTTTACTCTCTCCTCTCCATGTTTTAAGTTTTTGATGTCACATTTTATATCTTTTCATCTTGTGTGTCCCTTAACTAATTATTATAATTATGGTTATTTTTGTCTTTTAACTTTTATACTAGCTTTATAAGTAATTAATTCACTACCTTTACTATATATTTATCTTTCCAGTGAGAGTTACTCTTTCATGTATGTTCTTGTTACTAATTAGCACCATCTCTTTTCAGTTTAAAAGAGTTCCTTTAACATTTCTTGTAAGGCCAGTTTAGTGGTGATGAATTCCTTTAGGTTTATTTGTCTGGAATACTCTTTACCTCCCCTTCAATTGTAAATGATATCTTTGCTGGGAAGAGTATTCTTGGTTGGAAGTTTTTTCTTTTAGCACTTTGAATATATCATGCCACTCCCTTCTGGCCTGCATAGTTTCTGTTGAAAAATCCGCTTATTGCCTTATGGGGATTCCCTTGTATGCACCAAATTCTTTTTTTTCATGCTGCTTTAATATTCTCTCCTGTCGTTAACTTTTGACATTTTAATTATAATGTGTGTTGGTGTGGGTCTCTTTTGCTTCATATTATTTGGAACTTTCTGGGCTTTCTGGATCTGGATGTCCATTTCCTTCCCTATGTTAGGGAAGGTTCAGACATTATTTCTTCAAATAAGATTTCTGCCCTTTTTTCTCTCTCTTCTCCTTCTGAGAGTCCTATAATGTGAATTTTGCTTCACTTGGTGTTGTCCCATAAGACCCTTAAGCTATCTTTACCTTTTTTCATTATTTTTTCTTTTTACTGCTCTGATTGGGTGAGTTTCACTGCCTAGTCTTCTAGTTGAGTGATCCTTTCTTCTGCTTCGTTTAGTCTGCTGTTGAAGCCTTCTAGTATGTTTTTCAGTTCAGTCATTGTATCCTTCAGCTCTGTGACTTCTATTTTGTACTTTCTTATATTTCTCATCACTTGGTTGAAGTTTCCACTGTATTCATCCATTCTTCTCCCCAGTGCCATGAGCATTTTTATGACCATTACTTTGAACTCTTTATGAGGTAAATTATTTATCTCTGTTTTATTAAGGTTTTTTCCTGAGTTTTAATTTGTTCTTTCATTTGGAACATATGCCCATGTTTCTTCATTTTGCTGGCTCTCTGTTGGTTTCTATATAGTGGATGAAACAACCACCACTTCTAGTCTTGAAGGAGTGGTCTTGTGTAGAAGATGAACCTTGTTATTCATCCCTGCCCCAGCTCTTGCTTGTCTCTCAAACTTCTGTGCTTGTACAAGTAGCTTATTATATTTTTAATACCTCCTGGTAGTTGAGGATGTGCTAAGACCTGTCAGTGTCCCAAAGAGGAGGAACTCAGCACCTAGATTCTGGGAGCTGGAAGCCAGACTCTCAGGCAATCGCTTTTAAAAGTATGCAAATATATAGAGTCCTGTGGAATTGCAAGCATAAACTCCACTGGTCAGCAGAGCCTGGCAATCTAGAGCTCTCCCCTGGGCAATAGTTGCAAAAATCAGGGCTCCAGGTGAGTGTATTGGCTAAACTAAAATATAAATGTGATTATATAATGTAAAATATAAATATAATTTTAATATGTTCAAAGTTTTGAGAAGATTTTTATTCCCTTATCAATTTTCAATAATTTTTCTTTGAAAACAAATGATATTATAGATTTGTTTTTCTGTGAAAATAACACTTTCTTTTTTTATAACTAGGTGGTTGGTGTTAATTAAAAGATATTGGCAACATGTTGAGAGTACATCGGAAAATTCTGGTTCATCACAAAATGCCTTGAAAGCTTCGAAGAAAGAACAAAGAAAGAGAAGAGAAAAGCCATCATGCAGAGTTAGACTGGGTATGAATATGTTAACCTAGGAGAAGGGGAACTCAGAGTTATTGAGCACACTCTACGTGCTTGCAACATAGTAGGGCATCAATTTATTTTCATTTATAGAGGAGATAAAATAATGAATGAACTTTAGCTGTTGGAGATTAAGTAACATGTGAAAGTCCACACAGATAACTAATGGTGAATTTATTAAATTTAAAGATCAAGCTCTTTCCAAAGATTATTTATTTTGAAATAATGTGAATTCCTGCATAATGTAGTGTGGTTAAGGACAGAATTATAGCAAGGATAACTGTTTCACTTGCTATTCTTTAAGAAAAAATTAAGGGTAAAAAGGTATTTAGAGGGCAGTTTTGGCTCACTGGAAAATGTTTGCTTCAAAATATATTATTTCATTTGTGGTCTAGTTCTATGCTATACATCTAATATCTATCGATCTATCTATCTATTCATTATTTAAAAGATATTGTCTAGAGGCACAGCTCAAATTCTACCTTAATTCTTTCAGTTCAAGTGCCATAGTATGTCCTACATTATGACATTTCCTACTCTCTACTATAAGTATTTTTTATATGCCTTATTTTCTTTGGAGAGTACTACATATTATATATATATATTTTAAGTAAATAGACAATATTACATATAATATATATATTTGTTTTTATCCATGTCATAATGCCTTAATTTTTAAATGTACTGTAAAAATTTTACTACCGAATTGATGAATGTTGCTATATCTTTTACACTTGTGACTATTTACATGAGAAATCTCTGCATTAGTATAAAATCATATTTTTCTGGCTATTTTCCAACCAAAAGTTGCAGATCCCCATATGTGACATTCGTGCTTTCACTTAACAGATATTAAAGTGCCTAACATGAGCCAAACCCCATTCTAGTCCTTAGGGATATAATAGGAAAAAAACTCCTTGCTTTCACAGAGCTTAAATTTTAATGTGGATGTAGAGATTAAATAAGATTTATAATAAATACATTTAAAAATAAAAGAAAATAAAAAGCATGTTAGGTAGTGATAACTGCTGAGAAAAAATAAATCCTAGTGCAATATTAATAGAGACATTTGGGATATCAGCTTCCTAGATTTTAAAAGAAATGGACAAGGGACCAAAGAAGACACATAATTTCTGTGACCTGTTAATATTATTCTCAAAGACAAGGAAATAATATATTAATAATTCTAACAGTGAAACCTAATGTTTATAATTAAATAATTGTATAACTATATCTATTTATTTATCCCATGCCCCATTACACAAAGTCATGATTTATAAGAATACACAAAGAAATAAATTATAAAATCATAATTAAATACTAAGAACTGAGAAGCAATAATAGATTATAATTGAAGATTCAGACCAGAAGAAGTAAAGCACAGATCGATAGTATAGGTACACTGAATCCTCTTTCAAGGTTCTTCCCAATGCACAGCACTGTTTCTGGTGTTTTATTGACAATAGATTCTTGCATAGGTCTCCCTAGGCCTACTTGTAATCGTAAAATCAGAATTACATCATTGTTTTGAAAGGAAAAAGATCTTAATGATCATGTCATTCCTGTATTTCACAGTGTGGTACAAAGAGCGATACAATGATCTGGAAAAGTATGTGTGTTCCCTAAAGGGTAATGACTTTCTCATTGAACACTATCACCCATGTGCTGCACTTACAGCCAATCATGTAAGTACAAACCACTTTGGAAAATGAGTATGTATCCAGATTGTTAAAAATCTGCTTATGGGATATAAAATTAGTAATTTTGTATTTTATGGTTTTCAGATAGAGAAATATGGAATCCCTTCAGACCTTGGATTTTCTCCTCGGGAAAGCATACTGCTTTATGATGCTATGGTACATGTTTGGCCAGAATGGCCAAGAATGCAGGTGTGTGTATATATATATTCGATGACTGACAGCTCTAGTTCTTTGGCTATGGCAGTCCGTCAATAATGAGCAAATTCATGAATGGTATTTATTCTGGCATAGATAAAGGCAACATATTTCATTGTTAAGAGTATAAACTCCAGAGCCACGGTATTTCAGAATTGGGCAAATTAGTTACATTTTCTATATATCTGTTTTTTTCCTTGCCAAAAAGGATAATAATATGCACTTTGTAGTGTTATTATGAAGAGTAACTGAATTGTTATTTGTAAAATGTTTAGAATAGTGCCTTGCCATAGTAAGAAAAATATGTATGTTTAAAGAAACACTTTAGAAATTTTCTTTTCTTTTATCTCTAAAGATAATGCAATATTAAGAAAAGTATCTATTGGTAGGTTCTAAAGAAAAGAGGATAATATGCAACCATAGAGAACAGAACTGTCAGTCTATATGCAGTTAATCCTATAACTGGATATGAGTGGGTATTGACTGCTTAAGAGATTTATTTCATAGTGGTGTATATGGAAAACTTGAGAAAGGATGATAACTTCATTTTTCTTGACATTTGTGGTTCTTCATTTTCAAGGAGTTAGAACCTGAAGAATTCAGCTGCTTCAAAAATAAAGTAGTCATCATGAGGGGAGATGCCAAGAAATATGAAGAAGAACTGAAAAAGGAAATGATTCATTGGATTCAGCTGGACCGAAGCAAGGTGGTTAAAACCATTTAGGATCTATTTAAATAGAAGATTAATACAAAATGAATCTGGCTTTTTCATTTAGGTTCAGGGGAATCACACATAAAGCTCTAGAGGATTTGAAGATGGATATCCCATTACCATGCATTGCAATTCTACCTTATATTTAGTTAGCTAGATGTGGAAAAATGCGGAGAATCATTACTTGAGCTCTAGCTGGACAACCCACATGTGCTGGAACCATGTCCTTTTTGAATCTGCATTTCAGACAGTTAAATCTAGGTTGGGCTATTTCTTTTCATAAAAGGTAGGACTTCTCTGATTTCTGAAACCACTGGGTCATTACCCCGATTTTCTACTCCAATATTTTCCCAAGGAAGATCTTTTGTCTATTTACTTGTTTGGATAGGTAGATGCCCAGTTTCTCTCTGTCGCCAACAAACTGGATACATAGAGGAAATTTTAAGTATTATTTATCTTATTTACTTTAAGTTCTATTCTTTGACTTTCCTATTTTCTGATGATAAAAAATCCCAGTGATACTTTACTTCCTGATAATGAGCACTACAATATCTCAATGGCACTAGCAGTGGCACTTGCCCAAAGTTAACCAGGGCTATTCACTGAACCATTAGAAGGAAAGGAATGTGAATAAACTCATTCACACATGCTGACATGTAATATCAAATAATTTGGATCACTTGGGGCCCTGTATCATGGTTAAGATGTGATCATTTTTTGATCAGCGTGGTCTCAGGTAATGGAAGCAGGATTTCAATACATCCCTAGTTCTCACCTTCTCATTCCATGTGGCGAAGAATCCATTTTTTCTTTTTAAATTTCAGTTACACATTGACTTGGGCAGACTACCTGATCAGCAAGTCTGAAAACCATCTAATGTCAAGAATTACTGTTATATTAATACAGGTTTTCAACACTAGCTGCTTTTTAAAATTGTCTAAGGATCTTTGTCTCATCTCCAAAAATTCTGATTTGATTGGCCTTGCATAGGGCTGTGGTACTGGAATTTTAAAACAATGTTCTGTGTAATTTTAATGTGTACCCAGATTTGAGAATCTTTGGTCTACCATTGCCATTATCTGGTTTTCAACACCCTTGGTTGTAGATGCCAGCCCAGATCAAACTTAATTTTACTTAGTCCTCTTACTTCGCCATCTCCAAAGAGGTGGCAAACCCCTAGGCTCCAATTAGTTCCATCCAATACCCTCTCCAGCAGGCACTAGCCCATATATTTCCTTCCCTTGGAGCTTATGACATGCTTCGCGGCAACAAGCTGTGTTACTCCTAACATGGAAATCCTTTTCTCATCTATTGAATGTTTGTTTGGTCATTTTATACTCTTTCCACCTAGATTTTGGTTTAAAATATTTCTTTTTCTTAAACTCTTTATTTTAGATATTCTGTTAAAAATATTAGTCGTAGACCAGTAGGCATGTAGAGGATATCAAATGAATGAACAAATGAAGAAAATTATCTCAATTTTATTTTTTTACCAGGTATCCTATGATATCACAAGTCATGGTATAGTAAACTAAATTCTGCTTTCAATCTGTATTTATGTGGCCAGATTTTTCTCTTGCTATATTATTTTCATTTCAAATTCGTTATTTTTAATTGGAAGGATGGTTTATAAATATTGTCTTATACCAATCATTTTACTAGATAAACTTAGTCATTTCTCTTTTTTAGTCATATCATTTCTTTGTGGTTTGATATGGCTTTGATTAGTGTTATAATTTACACTGATGTGAATGTCAACACACTTTTTAATTATAAATTTAGGTACCCCTCAAAAGATATTTAACAAGCCTTATTTAATATATTCTATTCTTAGAATCAGTAACAACCTTTTATCCTGTCTTGGCATCTATAATAATTTTTTTTCTGTAGTGCATGGAAGGCTGTTTCTTCAAAAAGTTTAGTTTCTCTATGTTCAGGAAGATCTTACATTGTAGGTTTCATGGTTCAAAATTTCTTCTTTTCTTTTCCCTTTGTATTTTTTCTTACTCCTGTAGCTTATTTTCTTAGCCATGTCCCTTCCACTTTTTGCTCTCTTGGCAGTGAATTTATTTATTTATTTTTTTCAGAGCTTCTAATTCTGGGGTTATTATCTGCTTCCAAATCCTTGTCAGCTAATTCCAACATTTTATACTCCCTGTGCTGATTTGTGTTTATTTTCTTTCCTCTTTTTTTTTTTTTTTTTTTTGGTGAGGAAGATCAGCCCTGAGCTAACATCCATGCCAGTACTCCTCTTTTTGCTGAGCAAGACCGGCCTTGAGCTAACATCTATTGCCAATCCTCCTCCTTTTTTTTTTTTTTCCTTTTTTCTCCCCAAAGCCCCAGTAGATAGTTGTATGTCATAGATGCACATCCTTCTAGTTGCTGTATGTGGGACGCTGCCTCAGCATGGATGGACAAGCGGTGCGTCGGTGCACGCCCGGATCCCAACCCAGGCCGCCAGTAGTGGAGCGTGCGCACCTAACCGCTAAGCCATGGGGCCAGCCCCACTTTCCTCTTGAGAAGGGGTCATTTTTCCCTTGTTCCTTATATGTTCATTATTTTTGGATTGTCTTCTGGACAATAGAATGGTATGTTGCAGGGATTCTGGATTCTGTTATAATTCTCTGAAGAGTTTTTTTTTTTTTTCCCTTTAACTTTTATTTTAGGAGGCAATTAACTTAAACTCAAATGACAAATCCTGTCTTCCAGGTGACACCTAAAATCTTCATTTGATTCATCATTTGTTAGGCTGCACGGAGTTTGTCTTTAACGTGTGTGGGTCGGTAGTCACACAAATTTGGGCCTAGTTTATTCACAAATTTTAGGGATTTCATTTTCTAGTTTCCTCCTTTCTGGGATTCTCCTCTCACTTCTTAGTGGTTATTGTAGTTCTGAGCTCTATTTTCTGTTTCTTCAGACAAGAAGATTGTGGATGGGGAAGAGAGAAGGTTTATCAACATTTTGGCTTCTCTACATGTCCCCAGGCTAAAAGCCATTATAGTGGGGTTTTCCACTCCTACTGTGCGCTTTTTCTGTAAGCTCTCCTCCAGAATCTGTCTGCTTTTATTCACTCTTCAATGACTTCAGGCCACTGTTTTGTTGTTGTATTCTTCCCAGAAGTTACAGTCGTTATCTGCAAGAAGGTCGAGTCCAATAGAAACTCATTCTGCCATAACAGAAGCAGAACACCTGCTTTTCAGTTTTTTGTCCGTAGAGAATTTCTCTCACACTCCTGAAGCCTCAGATACACAGTTAAAGGATTGCTATAATTTTCAGGAAATTCTATTGGCGTTTTTCACATATCTCTTTCTGTTCCTTTTTACCTGTAGAATAGAATGTCCACTGATGAAAGCACATGTATTTTTTTCTCAAAATATTGAGCAAAAATATCATTAAAAAAACAACATTCTGTATTTAAAGGCAGAGTAAGCTTCACCACAGCAATTTTCTTTAACATTCTGCCTCTTTTACTGAAGCCAGAGATATTGAGGCCTCATAGGAATCATCTCACAGGCCATAGGCCCAGGCCGGGAAAGGGTGAATCACCAGGTTCTTGTGGAGAGGAATAACCTCTACCTTATAATAGCTGCACATGGCTCTGAGAGATGCTTCTTCAGGCTGAATCAGCTGCTGGAATAGAGGGAAGCAGACGATGGAGTTTTTTATGATGTATATGATAGATTTTCTATGATGTATTTGATTTTTTATGTATATGATTTTTATAATGTATATTATGTTTGATTTATTTATTATGTATAAATTGAGTTATTAGCCATAAACAAAAAGGTAAGAAAATATATGTATAGTCTGGAATATTGGAACAGTTCCCTTAGTGTTTCATTCCTCCTTGAGCTTCTATTTCGCTACACACTGCCTTAATCTCAACATTTGTAGATCATCTGCATCAATAGTTCATTTGTTATGTCTCTCAGGGCCGCTTTCCTAAACACTTGCAGATTTAGCTGAATTATGCTTTTAAATAGTTTCATTTGTTCATGTTTCATCATTTTCCCAGGACAACTCAAGTTTGCACCTGTTTTTGGTTTTGGTTTTTTGTGAGGAAGATTGGCCCTGAGCTAACACCTGTTGCCAATCTTCCTTTTTTTGCTTGAGAAAGAGTTGCCCTGAGATAACATCTGTGCCCATCCTCCTCTATTTTGCATGTGGGACGCTGCCATAGTATGGCTTGATGGGTGGTGTATGTCAGTGCCTGGAATTCAAACCTGTGAACCCCAGGCCGCCAAAGCAGAGGGTGCCGAACTTAACCACTGCGCCACTGGGCCAGCCCCTGCACCTGTTGTTTTAGCTTAATTATTAGTAGCCTCCTCAACCTTTCACTTTCAATGTTGGTTTGAAAGATAAATTTGCATGACAAATTTGAGAGAACATATAATCTCTGATGTGTATTAGTAGAATTTTGAGCACATTAACTATATTTTATTTTTTATACTGATGTCATGTGTACTGTACTCTGTATTCACCCTGTTAATAAGCAACATCAATTTGTGACAGTCTCTGTTCCCTTCCATAAACACCATGCTGTGGTATTACATAGACTTATGAGAATATTGTAGAAATATATCATTCAAGTTTTCTCAGGTTTTAGTTTTATTTAAAAACATTTAGTGCATGATTTAGATATAATTCCCAAATTTCCCCATAAAAGTGTAGTAAGTTTTCCTGATTTGATTTTCAGTCTCAAATGTCAGCTGATTTTATTACATTTTCTTCACAGTCACAAATATTTTATGATCTACCTTTTACTTATGATAATTTTATTCAGGTAAACCTGTTACTGAAGTACCTTAAGCCTCAAACTTTTGACAGTTCAGAGAATGAAAAGCGAAGAATGTTTCCCTGCTTTGTGGAAAAACTTAAAGAAATGGATAGGCTGCCTGCAATATTTTTTTCGTAAGTAATATTTTCTACAGATAGCATTATACTTAATATTGTATGAATTTTAAAGACTTTTGAAAAGAATAATTGAGAAAGGATATATAAATTCTGATTCATTCATTTTAGTAGGATTTTGGAGAATTTTAATTCTATTGTGTCGAAGTCATACTTATTATACCAAGTTGGGTATAGTATGAGAGGAAGGAAGACCTCTCATTAAATTACACTGCAAAATCTGATTGTGTAGTTTAGTACAGTAGAATTCTCTGGTCCATAAGTTATTAGAAAAAGTCTACATATCATCAAAGTAAGATAAGGGAAAAACGATAAAACTAGAAGGTAAATTTGCCAAAAAAGAGCATGTACTCTAGCACACACATGCATACACACATACACATATGACCTCACACTTTTTTTTTTTTTTGGTGAGGAAGATCAGCCCTGAGCTAACATCCGTGGTAATCCTCCTCTATTTTTTGCTGAGGAAGACCGGCTCTGAGCTAACATCTATTGCCAATCCTCCTCCTTTTTTTTCCCCAAAGCCCCAGTAGATAGTTGTATGTTATAGTTGCACATCCTTCTAGTTGCTGTATGTGGGATGAGGCCTCAGCATGGCCGGAGAAGCAGTGCGTCGGTGTGTGCCCAGGATCCAAACCCGGGCCGCCAGTAGCGGAGCGCGCGCACTTAACCACTAAGCGACGGGACTGGCCCATGACCTCACACTTTTGCATACTATGCAAAAGTGATTACATCTAAACCCTTCACCGAGAAGAAAAGATTTTAGAAAAGCTTTAAAACAGTCTGCTAGTTTTCTCTTTCTATTTTTCCCTTCAGATCATTTAAAGAAAAGTTCAATGTAGGTTAGTAGCAGACCCATCAAATAATTAGCAATCATGTTTTCATTATACTTAAAATGCTGATGTTTTCTTTGCAAAATATTTAATCGATCTGTATGGGTGAAATGAGTTCACATTCAAATCATTTCACTTTGCTCCTCGGTGCTGGGCCAAGGACTCGGGGAGGATGCAGAAAAAGTTTGTGGCATGGTTGCCCTTAAGGAATTGACAATCATTGGGAGAGTGATAATATACATGACCCTGAAACAGTTAGATTCAAGAGTGTAGCTAGTTAGTATATAAACATTTACTAAACATTTCAGTGTTCATGGCGTTCTGTAGGTGTTATAGTGGATATGAAGAGATATTTGTCACCTCCAGGAACATAGACGGGAAAAGCAATAAATTACTAACGTAAAGCATAGTCTGTCTCTAAAGGATATGTAACATAGTACACATATACACATAACTAAATAAATGTGTGATAAAGACACTAAATGCTTTAGAGTTTAGTGGGAAGAGAGAATGTAATTGGCTGGCGTGGTCAAAGACACTTTCACAAAGGAGTTAGGTATCGAAGAATAGATATGCTAGACAGGGAGGAGAGGAGAAGGACATTGAGCCTAGATCTAATTTATCTCACTCCATTTGAAACAGAACAAGACCTTTTCCAAAACAAACAAACAAATGAAAGATAGATTATGAGAAAAACTTATATGAGATATATATATATCATCACTTTCTATCTCTATCATGTATAATCTCATATATATCTCTTATATATAGTATATGTATTTCTCATATATCTCCTACATATTGTATATATATCTCATATGTCATATATATGTCTCATATCTAATATATATTTATCTCATATGTATCATATGTATATGAAAGAGAGAGACAATAGCTATGGCTTGAGATTACTTTAATTTATGCAAATTTATGTGTATACATCTACCCACTCCCTATATACAAATTTCATAGTTAAAAGGGTAATTTCAGACCAAATTCTGGACTCTTTCAAATGCCTATAAAAGAAATTTGCATTTTATTTTCTAGTAAACGGGAAACATTTTGAGCAAAGATAAAAAAGTTAAGCCAAGTGTGATGAAGTACAAAAATATTCATAGAAATTCCCACAAAATAAAATTTTTACCTCAAACTGTATTTCGTAGGTGAAAATGAGCAAGTAACAACAACAAAAAATACTAGTGTATTCTTCATATATATTCAGAAATGTTAAAATAGGGAGTTTTAAAATGGAGAAGGGAGCAGTTTTAATCTAGTTAAAAGCCCTTACCTAACTGTTTTATTTATTGTACTTATCATTTAAAAATTAACCTGTCTAGAAAATTCTGATCCCATTCACACAGGCTCTGCTTTGGGAGTCAAAAGGGTCAAAATGAATGGAAGGCAGAGAATGATATTGCCCAAACAAATGTTCTTTCTGCCAAAAATTCTATTTAGTAATGCAAACAGCTCTCTACTGATGTGAACATACGATTATCAAAAATTCTTACATATTTTAAATTTAGATACAACATTCACTCAGTGGAATCATCAGCTTCACAACTTCTTACTAATTTGATAATAAAGCAAAAAACTCAGAATAATCCAAATTCTGAGAGAGAGAAGAAAACTTTGAACAAGAAACTATGGAAAGCAGTGAGGTCTCAAAAGAGAAACTATACTGCGTGAGTATTTCTATTTGAATTGTGGAATTAAATGTTTAACAAAACATATGAATGTTCAGCTGTTTTTATAATTCCAACTTGTTTTTATAATGTGATGATGTGACTTCTTTCTTGTTCTCTGACACATCAAGTTAATTTAATTATACTTCACTTTTGTGGGCACAGGCAGGAGGTGATTTCTGAGTATTTTGATAATTATACAATATTTTACAATAATTTTATTGATTATGTTAGCTTCCTTCTTTCTTTTATCTTAGAACTGCAAATTATAACTTATTTTTTAGAAATTGTAATTTTTAAAATTTGTTTAAAATAAAGTGTATGAATACTTATATCCACTTTCAAAGGACACCATTAAAATATAAAACACCTAATTAGTCAGAACAAGTTCACTAACACATTGGTTTTGTAATGTAACACTCAAGAAATATGATTTTAGTATGTCTGTGCCTTTATTGTCTTAATTTAAAGCAGACAAACATGTAAAGAAATTGCCTCTGTTATTTATTAAAAAAATTTTTTTTGCTTCTAATTATTTTATTGGTGTAATATTGGTTTATAATAGTGTGTAAATTTCAGAAGTACGTTCTTATATTTCAGCTTCTGTATAGACTGCATCATGTTCACCACCAATAGTCTAATTTTTATCTGTCACTATACATATGTGCCCCTTTATCCCTTTCTCCCTCTTTTCACCCACTTCCCCTGTGGTAACCACCAATCTGTTCTCCTTATCTATGTGTTTGTTTGTTTTCCACATATGAGTGAAATCACATGGTATTTGTCTCTCTCTGTCTGATTTATTTCACTTAGCATAATACCCTCAGGGTCCATCCCTGTTGTCACAAATGGCTCAATTTTGTGTTTTTTATGGCTGAATAGTATTCGCCTGTATATATATACCACATTTTCTTTATCCATTTATCCATTGATGGACACTTGGGTTGCTTCCAAGTCTTGGCTATTGTGAATAATGCTGCAATGAACATAGGGGTGCATATATATTTTTGAATTAGTGTTTTCATATTTTTTTGGATAAATACCCAGTAGTGGAATAGCTGGATCATGTGATATTTCTATTTTTAATTTTTTGAGAAATCTCCATGCTATTTTCCATAGTGGCTACACCAGTTTGCATTCCCACCAGCAGTGCTTGAGGGTTGTCTTTTCTCCACATCCTCTCCAACACTTGTTATTTCTTGTCTTTTTAATAATAGCTGTTCTGACGGGTGTGAGATGATATCTCATTGTAGTTTTGATTTGCATTGCCTCTGTTATTTTTGTTTGATTCTAATGTATATATTAATCTGTGAAACAAAATTCATTATGGTAATAGTTACACAATTCTCACTCTCACTCAGGATTCTTTCCTAGCATTTGTTCTTACCCACTCTTGAGTGAAATAATAACCATAATGCAATAAATTATTCTTTTCTGACTGCTTCTGCTGTATTTCTGAGATGGGGGTGGTCAGATAGGTTTTGATCTGGAAAGAGTGACATTGGATACATCTCTGCTGCCCGAGCCTCGGTGGCCCAGCGGCCAGTTTCTCTCATACAAGATGATAGATACAGGCCTGTTCTAATGGCCCAGCAGGCTGGTCACTCTTCCTTTATGTGTCATTCCACCCAAGCAATGACTTATTGATTGAGAAGTACCCCAACAGATCTCAAAGCTAATTTTGGCACCTGTCAAAAATCAATTGCACTATATGTTAGAAAGAAGAAAATCTGGCAGATACATTTTTTCTATACTTCTTCTACTATAAAGCATTTGAATTTGTATGCAATTTTTAGGAAAATTGAATTTTTCCACCTAATTTAATGTTGAAAATATAATTCCACTAGACATAGAAAATAAAGAAGAATTTTGTTGATATGAGAGATGGGAGAGATACAGAAGATTTTTCTATTTCCTGTTAAATACATATTAATGCATATATTTAAAATATACTTAAATGGTAAGCTGATAGACAACTGAGGTAATTAAGGTCTGATGAATATCCTCTAGTAGGGCTAATTATGTTTTGGGTTTGAATTACCCTTCTCACTTGGCATTTATAGATATAACCTCAAACTCAAAAAATGAAGGAACATGCATGCTACAATCAATATATTTACTGATTTTCCTGATATTTTATATTCAGTTTTTAAATTCAGATTCAAGTTCTAGAATTCAAAGAATTATTTTATGAGAGGCTGAAATAAAGGAAATAAAGAAAAACCTTAAGAAACACGAGGAAGTTTCTCCAGACTGTACTTATACCGATCATACAGTTGTGGATAATCAGGTAAGAGAAAAGAAGAGGGAACACATTTGGATATGTGTATTGGTTTGCTAGGGCTGCTGTAACAAAGTACCACAAACTGAGTGGTTTAAACAACAGAAATTTATTTTCTCAGTTCTGGAGGGTCGAAGTCTGAGATCAAGATGTTGGCAAGGTTGGTTCCTTCTTAGTGCCATGAGGGAAGGATCTGTTCCAGGTCTCTCTCTTTGGCTTGTTGATGGCTATCTTCTTTCTGTATTTTCAAGGGATTGTCTTCCCTTTGAAATTGGTGTCCAAATTTCCTCTTCTTGTAAGGACACCGGTAACATTGGATTAGCGTCCACCCTAATGACCTCATTTTAACTTAATTACCTTTGAAAAGACCCTATCTCCAAATACAGTCAGATCTTGAGGTACTGGGAGTTAGGACTTCGACACGTGAATTTTAGGAGGGATACATTTTAGCCTGTAAAACTGTGTGTAGTGTCTTTATTGTGACATGGAATTTATAAGACACACAACATACTTAATCTAAATTAATCTTGAAACAATATATGGGAGACTAAAGTTGGAGGCTGAAGAAATTAAAATAATTTTTGTAAACTTTTACAGCTATTAAAAGCAGCTTGAAGATTTTCGCCAAGTTGTAACTCCAACATCTACAGCCTTTTTATCTTGTGAAATTGACTTTATTAATTGAAGTTAATTATAACTATTCTGTTATGTAGACATAAATATAAAAATTAAATGTAAAATCTCTTTTCTGAGCTACAGGCTTAACCACCAACTTGCTACAAGAACCTCAAAATCAGATTTGTCTGTCTTCTGAAAATTCTTCCTCCTCTGTTCTGGATCTCCGTGTAGCTAGTTCTTCCAACTGAAAACTGTAGAGTCATTATTGTCTTATACTTCTCCTTTACCCCACATCTCCTTCAAAAACTTAACTGTAAAACATGGATAGAGACGCTAAACAATAGGCGCTCATAAAATGTTTGTTGGTTGACCTGATGATTCATGTAGTAGTCAGGGAACTGTGCTTATTACTTGTTCATGCTTTTTTCTTTCCTTAAGTTATGAGAGAGGGGAGAAAGAGAGGCAGAATGAGAGAGAGAAAAGGAGGGAGAAAAAGAGAAAAGAGAGAAAGAGACAGAGAAACAATAATAGCGACTGACAGAGAGATACAGAAAGAAATGTATGGAAACAGAGTTTCAGAGAGAGAGAGAAAGGAGTATGAAGGAAAGGGAGAGAGAGAAAGAGAGAGAGAAAAAAGGAGAGAGAGCGAGAAGAGAAACAGGAAGTGACAGACACAAAGAAAATACACAGAAAAAGATAAGAAGCCACAGATAAAGAAAGGGAGAGGGAGAGCGAGAACAACCCAACACTGGTCAGATATGGAGGTGGTAACGGAAAAAAAAACAGTAAGTTGGTTTTGAATTAACAGCAAAAATAGAACAAAATAGGGGTGGTAGAAAATCAGACTAAGCTGAGAACGTTAGGCAGGGATGGTTTTGGTACTAGCCTCAGGGCACTCTGGTCCCTTACTCACCTCTTAAAATTCTTATCCTTTCCCTTCAGTGTTTCCTCATTGCCTCGGACTCAGCTGGAGCCCTTGTTCAGTCTATTAGACATATGACCAGTGATTAAACACTTTGGGAGTGAGGCTGGGCCTCCATCACTCAGTGGGTATGGGGGAGAAAATGGGGTGCATGTTCCCAATGAGGAAATGGATGAAGAAAGGATCATCACATATGAGGTTGGATAGTGTTCGCCTGTATCAGATATCAAGCTTTGAATGTCAGGTACTATGGAACTGTTTTACTTAGATACCACGTGTCAGGCATTTTATAGTTCAAATAGGCTTTGGGTTCCGCCTAAAACACAGCCACTCTTTTTAGAAGTGTTTCCAACCCTGTATTGATTTCTAAACAATTTTTTAACACCTAACATCATTGTTAAGTTGAAGAATAAATGGTTTAATTTGATATTGCAAATTCTTTGTTTGGGTATTTCAGACTTTAATGAAGATCTCTTACGCAGACTGAGAGGAACAAGACAATGCTACAAACTGCACAGTCTGTTATGGCGGGGCATTGGATATCATCATGGTTCAATGGAGTATAAACAAAGACAAGTTGTAGAGATGCTTTTCAGACTGAAGCACATCAAGGTTGGTGAGTTTTGAGGATAACTCTCCTCAGAGCACTGCCTTCATTTCTTTGGTCTGACTAGAAGAAAGAAATATACCCTGACAGCTTGTAGGGAAGTCATTCTACCTCCCTCCCCCACAATCCCTCCACTTAGAGGGATGTTCTGCTAACATTTTAGAATATTGTGTTCTTTTAAATACATTTTTATATAGTTAATATACAATGTGTATACAATTTGGAATCCTGTCTACTTTGCCCAATAGTACATAATTAAGTATATTTTTAATTAGCATTACATAATAAACATTTTATGAGTGCATCATAATATATACACATATAATTTATTTAAACATTCTGCTAATGTTGAAATTTTTTCTTTATAAACATATATCATTATTTCTGATTGTTAACAGGATCAATTGTTTCTGCAAAGTGAAATAACTGTTTCAGAGAAGAAAAGAAATTTTAAGGCTCTAGAAATATATGCCAAATTTCTTTCCAGAATGACTCTGTTTACTTCACCTTGACAAATTTTGACTATTATGGTTAAAAAGTAGAGTTGTGAATATAGTTCAGAGAGTATCTTATATACCATACAGCCCATTTCCCATATTATTAATATCTTACATTAGTAAGGTATGTATGTTACAATTAATGAAACAATATTGATAAATTATTATTAACTGAAGTCCATTCTTTATTCACATTCCTCAGCTATTCTCTTAATGTCCTTGTTTTGTTCCAAGATCCCATCCAGGGTATCACATTCTATTTAGCTGTCAGATCTCCTTAGGCCCTCTCGGCTGTGACAGTTTCTCAGATTTGCCTTGTTTTTGAAGATCTTGATGGTTTTGAGGATTACTGGTCAGATATTTTGTATAACGTGCCTTAGCTGGAATTTTTCTGATGTTTTTCTTGTAATTAAACAGGGCTTATGTGTTTCTTGAAAGAAGACCACAGAGGTAGTGTACTCTTCTCATCAGATCAAGGGTATAGACTATCAACATGACTTACTATTGATTTTCTCCTTGAGCACCTGGCTGATTTAGTATTTGTTAGATTTCTTCATTATAAGGTTATCTTTTATTCCCACTTTCCATGCTGTCTTCTTTGGAAGGAAATCACTAAGTGCAACCCATACTTAAGGAGTAGGCGGTTGAGTTATGCTCCACGTCCTTATAGCTAGAGCATCTACATAAATTATTTGGAATTCTTCTGTATAGGAGATGTGTGTCTTCTCCATTTATTTACATATACAACATTTATTTACATCAGTATGGACACATGGGTATTTATTTTACGCTTTGTACTATAATTCATGTTGCTTTATTTTGTTGCCCATATTGTTCTAGTATTGGCCATTGAGAGCTCTTTCACTTGCTTCCTGTATCCCTTTGGCATGCTTCCATCATTGTGAGAATTGTTGCTGTTCTTTTTGTACACTGCTTTACTTTCTATCAAAATAAGATAGATGCTCCAGGCTCATCTTGTATATTTCTTATCCTAACCTTAGAATCAGTAATTTCTCCAAAGAGCCCTGATTTCTTTTAGGGAAGTCTGAGGGACTGTTACAACTAAGAGAAGCCAATGAGACAGGTCTAATAAATGTAATGTGAAACTCTGAGTGGATCCAGAAAAAAACATTAGGTAAAAACTAAGGAAATCTGAAAAAGTATGGACTTTGGTAAATAATAATAGATAAATATTTTTGATTAATTGTAGCAAATGTACGGTACAAATTTAAGATATTACTAATAGGGGAAACTGGGTGCAGAGTATTTAGAGACTCTGTACTATCTTTGCAAATTTTCTGTAAATCTAAAAAGGTTCTAAAAATAGAGTTTATTTAGAAATATGTTCCATACATGCATTAAAAGATGTGTTCTGTGAGTACTGACTGTAGTGTTCTGTCAGGCTTTTTAATTTAAATCTGTATTATTGATAAATTTTTTGTCTTCTATCAATTACTGAGAGCAGCATTATAGAGAGTAGAAAGTGTTAAAATCTGTCACTCTTAATGTAAATTTTTGTGTTTCTCTTTGTAGTTCTGCCAGTTTTAGTTTATATGTTTTGATACACTATATCGTGTAAGTATACAGCATTAAAAATAAAGCACATTAAAACACTAAAACAGAGAGATTACTAAAGCAGATTGACATATGACTTCCTGAAAGCAAAAATAAAAGCCAGAAATAAGTGGAATTTTACCTTAAAAAACTTAAAGAAAATAACTGCCAACTTAAATTTTCATACACAGTAAAATCATCCTTCTAGAATGAGGGCAACATGGAGAATTTTAGACAAATAAAAACTGAAAGTGTTCATCATATCACCTCATCACTAAAAGAAAGTTCTAAATAATTCAGGCAAAATGAAAGTAATTTCAGGAAAGTAAAACATAGTCAAAAGTAAAACAAAGATCCTAGAAAATCATAAACATGGGTAAATTAAAATTTTTATTATCTGAATAAAAATTTTAAAAGACACCTTGGAATAAAAAAGAGATAAAATATGTTATAATACTGTTTATTTTAGAAGTGGGGATTTTTTGAGGTAAAGTCCAAGGGGAGGATAACATTACTGATCAATTTTGGACTTTTATAAGTAGAAATTATGTAAATTTGGCAGTACACACTGAAAGAACAGAATTTGAGTGTGTAACATCCAAACTACAGAGGAAAAAAAAAAAGGCATGAGAAGCATCTGAATCAATCAAAAAGTAATCAAGAGATTCTCCAGTTCAAGATGGTGGCATAGAAGGATTCTGAGCTCACCTCCTCTCATGGACACAATGAATATACACCTACACGTGGAACAATTCCCTCTGAAATGGATCTGAAAGCGAACTAAATGACGCATTCACAACAAAGGATAGAACGACCATATCGAGATGGGTAGGAGAGGAGGAGACTCAGCCTCACCTGAAGCCCTACCCCTGGCACAGTGATCGACAGTTTGGAGGGATTTCATAACAGGGAACACATTCCTGAGGAGTGAGAGGTTTGTACCCTACATCAGGCACCCCAACCCTTGTGACCTGCACCAGAGAGACAAGCCCCCAAAGTGTCTGGCCTTGAAAATCAATGGAGCTTACATCCAAGAGAACCATAGGGCTACAGGAAATGGAGAATCCTCTCTTAAAGGGATGGTGCACAGATTCACTTGCCTCAAAACCCAGTGCAAAAGCAGCAGTTTGAAAAGTGCATAGACTATAGGTGAAGGAGACTCATTTGCCTATCTAAGTGTCTTCTGGAGAGGCAGGAACCTGTTGGGACTCTCTCCAGGGACAGAGGTGCTGGTGGGTGTCATCTTTGTGTTCTTCTTTTGACCTGTTGGTGCTGGTACTGGTGGGCACCATTTTCGTATGCTCCTTGTAGCCTGCTAGTTCTGGTGGAAGCACCTCACCCCCATGAACCATGGCCGCAGAGGCCCATCCAGCCCCAGAAGGACCAACTGAGTGCCCTGCCCCAGTGCACAGCAGCCTGGTCCAACCACATGCAGAAGCTGAGTCAAAAGAAAAAGACTTGCACATTTGTGCACCACAGTTTCAACCCTATCACAAGAGGCAGGCACACACAGCCCACATGGGGAACACTTCTTGAGTGCCTGGCTCTGGTAACCAGTGGGGATTGTGCTTCGGGGCCCCATGTGGCATCTCCCACATAAGACTGGAAGAGGTAATCGCTTTGTCAATGCATAGAAACAAACACAGAATGTCAGACAAAATGAGGAGGCAAAGGAATATGCTCCAAAAGAAAGAACAAGGCAAAACTTCAGAAAAATATATTAATGAAATGGAGATAACCAATCAATCTGATAAAGAGTTGAAAGTAATGGTCATAAAGATGCTCACCGAACTTGGGAGAAGAATGGATGAACATAGAAGATCTTCAACAAAGAGACAGAGAATATAAGAAAGTTCCAAGCAGAAGTTATAGAGCTGAGGAGTACGATAACTGAACTGAGAATAAGTAGAGGGATTCAGCAGCAGACTGGATGAAGCAGAAGAACGGATCTGTGAGCTGGAAGATAAAACAATGGAACTCACCATGGAATATGTGGAACTCAGAGGAGCAATAAGAAAAAAGAATTTAAAAAAGTGAAGATTCCTTAAGGGGCCTTTGGGACATCAAATGAAATAGAATTTTAATTATAGGGGTCCCAGAAGGAGAAGAGAGAGGAAGAAGAGAGAGACCCATTATTTAATAATGTCTGAAAACTTCCCTAATCTGGAGAAGGAAACAGATAGCCAGGTCCAGGAAGCCCAGGGAGTTCTCTATAAGATCAACCCAAAGAGGCACACACCAAGATGCATTATAAGTAAAATGGTAAAAGTTAGGATAAAGAAAGAATCTTAAAAGTAGCAAGAGAAGAACAACTTATTACATACAAGGGAAACTCCATGAGATTGACAGCTGATTTTTCAGCAGAAACTTTGCAGGCCAGAAAAGAGTGGCATGACATATTCAAAGTGCTGAAAGGAAAAAACTTCTAACCAAGAATTCTTTATCCAGCACAGTTGTCATTCAGATTTGAAGGAGAAATTAAGAGTTTTCCAGATAAGTAAAAGCTAAAGAGTTCATCAGCACTAAACAGCCTTACAAGAAACGTTACAGGGACTTCTTTTAGCTGAAAAGAAATGGCACTAATTAGCAACAAGAAAACATGAAAATATAAATCTCACTGGAAAAGGTAAATATATAGTAAAGGTAGTGAATGAATCACTTATAAAGCAAGTATGAAGGTTAAAAGATAAAAGTAATAAAATTAACCAAAAACTATAACAATTAGTTAAGGAATGCATAAAATAAAAAGATGAAAAGGTGAATCAAAATATAAAACACAGGAGGAGGGGAGTACAAATGTAAAGTTTTGGAATGTACTCAAATTTAAGTTGTTGTCAATTTAAAACAGACTGTTATATACATAGGATGTCATACATGAACCTCATGGTTACCACAAAACAAAAACTTACAGTAAATACACAAGAGAAAATGAGAAAGGAATCTAAACATAACAC